CTTCTGAGTGCAGGCGTGCGCCACCATGCCCCGCTAATTTTGTATTTTTTTCAGTAGAGACGGAGTTTCTCCATGTTGATCAGGCTGGTCTTGAACTCCCGACCTCAGTTGATCCACCTGCCTTGGCCTCCCAAAATGCTGGGATTACTAGGCATGAGCCATTGTGCCCGGCCTATAAGCTGTTTTATCACCAAGGTCTTTACGACCTGTATCTTGTATCGACCTCCTGTGTCACCCTGTGACTTAGAATGCCTTAATCTCCTGGGAACGCAGCCAAGCAGGTCTCAGCCTTATTTTACCCAGCCCCTATTCAAGATGGAGTCTCTCTGGTTCAAATGCTTCTGACACTCCTGCCTCAGGCTTTCAAACAGCTGGGACTATAGGCACACACCACACCACCACACCTGGCTAATGTCTTAATTTTTATTTTGTAGAGACAGGGTCTTGCAATGTTGCCCAGGCTAGTCTCAAACTCCTGGCCTCAAGCAATCCTCCCACTACAGCCTTGCAGAGTGCTGGGATTACAGCATGAGCCACCATGCCAGGCCTTGATTTTTCTTAGCATGTGGGCTTAAGTCATTCAATGCTGATGTTAAAGGAAAATGGTGTCGTGCGTGGTAGCTCACACCTGTAATCCTAACACTTTGGGAGGCCTATCACCTGAGGTCAGGAGTTCAAGACCAGCCTGGCCAACATGGTGAAACCCCGTGTGTACTAAAAATACAAAATTTAGCCAGGGACGGTAGCTCGTGCCTGTAATCCCAGCACTTTGGGATGCCGAGATGGGTGGATCACTTGAGGTCAGGGGTTTGAGACCAGCCTGGACAACATGGCGAAACCCCATCCCTACTAAAAACTACAAAAATCAGCTGGGCACAGTAGTGGGTACCTGTAGTCCCAGCTACTCAGGAGGCTGAGACAGGAGAATTGCTTGAAACCAGGTGGCGGAGGTTGTAGTGTGAGCTGAGGTCGTGCCACTGCACTCCAGACTGGGTGACAGAGTGAGACTGCGTCCCAAAAAATAATAAATTTTTTAAAAGGAAAATGGGAGATGATTGTAGAAGGTAGAGGATTTGGAGTGACAGTTCATTTCAATGGTAATAAGGACCACAAGATGCTAAGAGTAATGGGATGCGCGGCCATCTGCTGTTTTTGCCTGTTCAGCATCCAGTCATCCTTCTTTGCGTGATGACACCCCGAGCTTCCTTTGAACCGACCCTTCCTTGGGCGGAGGCTGACCCCACCCCTCGCGCTGTGTGGTGGTCACATGTCCCAGGTCTAGCCAATCAGCGCATCCCATCTCCGAGCCGCCGCTGCAGGTTTCTAGCCGAAGCTAGGCTGCTCCCGGCCTCCTACACCTGTTACGGGAGAAAGTGTTTTCTTTTCCCTGGAGTTGCTAAGCATGTGGGGTGTAAGGCTGGACCTGCTGGTGGCTGCCTTTGCCACCGCCTGGGGAGATTCTGGCCAGGCATGAAGCCCGCACAGAGGAAATGAAGCAGGGCCAGATGAGGAGAGATGAATTATAACTGTATCATATGAGTATTAGGATCTGTGTCTGAAATTAGATCCACATGGCTTTCTCTTTCTCTTTTTCTTTTTTTCTCACTGTGTCACCCAGGCTGGAGTGCAGTGGCTCGATCCCAGCTCACTGCAACCTCCGCCTCCCGGGTTCAAGCGATTTTACTGCCTCAGCCTCCCAAGTAGTAGCTGGGATTACAGGCATGTGCCACCATGCCCGGCTATTTTTATTTATTTATTTATTTATTTTTTGGAGACGGAGTTTTTGCTCTCGTTACCCAGGCTGAAGTGCAATGGCGCGATCTCGGCTCACCGTAACCTCCGCCTCCTGGGTTCAGGCAATTCTCCTGCCTCAGCCTCCTGAGTAGCTGGGATTACAGGCACGCGCCACCATGCCCACCTAATTTTTTTTATTTTTAGTAGAGACGGGGTTTCACCATGTTGGCCAGGCTGGTCTTGAACTTCTGATCTCATGTGATCTGCCCTCCTTGACTTCCCAAAGTGCTGGGATTACAGGCATGAACCCACTACCCAGCCCAAGTGGCTTTTTCGGTTACATGAGCCAACATATTCTCATAAGTCCATGCAAGTTTGGTGTCTGTTATTTGCAAATAAAGGAGTTCTGATTGGTTCCCAGTGAAACCTCATCTGTAAGACTCCTCAGCCACCAGTATCCACGGGGCTTGCCCTATAACAGCTTCTGTGCAACCAGTAGCCTTGAACACAGGAAGCCACTGAGCCCTTCTGCGACTAGACGCACCCCTCTGAGGCTGAGATTACTAGTGTATTCATTGGAACCGGTTTGGTCTCAGTGACTGAAAACCCAACCCAAACTGGTTCATCTGGAAAGGAAAAGTCAGCTTGGCACAGTAGCTCATGCCGGTAGTTCCAGCACTTTGGGAGGCCCAGGCGGGTGAATCAATTTCAATCAATTACCAGAGTAATTGACTGAAAGGGGGTGTTCTCCAGTGGGAAATCAGATAAGGTGTACATTATTTGACCTTAACTCTTCACCCTTCCCCCTACCCATGCCCTTGGACATGCAGCTTTGTAGTGCCTTCTCCTCACGGGCAGGATGACCGGCCCTGCTTCTTTTTTCTTGTTTGAGACAGAGTCTTGCGCTGTTGCCCAGGCTGGAGTGCAATGGTACGATCTCAGCTCACTGCAACCTCCACCTCCTGGGTTCAAGCGATTCTCCGGCCTCAGCTTCCCAAGTAGCTGGGATTACACTGCCCTCAGCTAATTTTTGTATTTTTAGTAGAGACGGGGTTTCACCATGTTGGTCAGGCTGGTCTTGAACTCCTGACCTCAGGTCATCAGCCCGCCTTGGCCTCCCAGAGTGCAGGGATTACAGGCGTGAGCCATCGTGCCCTGCCCTGCCTCTTGCATCTAGAATCAAATGTGGGGCTTGTGCATTGTGGGTGTCAGTCTCTCACCTTCTTCGTCATTGTGAGACCAAATCTGGGTGAGTCCATTATGGTATGTCCGCTCTATGGAGCAGAGGTGAGTTAATCCAGTGTGTTAGGACATTCTTGCATTGCCGTAAAGAAATACCTGGGCTGGGTACACTGGCTCATGCCTGTAATCCCAGCACTTTGGGAGGTGGGAGGATTGCTTGAGCCCAGGAGTTCAAGACTAACCTGGACAACATAACCAGACTTCATCTCTATTAAAAATAATAATAATAGGCCGGGTGCGGTGGCTCACTCCTGTAATCCCAGCACTTTCAGAGGCCGAGGCAGGCAAATCAGGAGGTCAATAGATCAAGACCAGCCTGGCCAACATGGTGAAACCCTGTCTCTACTAAAAACACAAAAATTAGCTGGGCACGGTGACATGCACCTGTAGTCCAGCTACTTGGGAGGCCGAGGCAGGAGAATCGTTTGAACCTGGGAGGCAGAGGTTGCAGTGAGCCAAGATCACACCACTGCACTCCAGCCTGGCAACAGAGCGAGACTCCATTTCACAAAATAATACTAATAATTTTTTTAAAAACAGAATGGCCCTCCACTTCACTGGCAAGGGTGAGGGGGCCTCCTGTCATCTCCAAATCATAGGACTTTCCCCACCAGCCATAGCTGATCATTTTACCACTTACAGCCTCTCCTGGAGGGTTACAATTGAGATGAGAACCAATCAATATCTGCTATAATTAAAAATATGAGAACTTCAGAGTTGTGGGGCAGCTGTGTTTAGTTGAAAGCCTAGAGAGGCAGAGAGAGTCCATGTGTTTGTTACTTACGGTAATGCTGGCTGCTGGAACAAATAAAGCCCCAAATCTCTGTGGCTTAACATCACAGAAGTTTATTGCCAACTCAGATAACAGTCTAAGGCAGATCTGCTACATGGCGATTCAGGGACCGCTACCTCACGGTTCTGCTCTCTCTCGGGGCCTTGGCTGGTAGATGACAGCAAACAATGCAGAGGAGAAGACAGATCCATGATTTTAGCCATCTCAGCCCCAGTCATGGAGCTGTGTCATTTCCACCCACATTTCATTAGCAAGAACCAGTCACACAACCACACCTAACAGCAAGGAAGCCTGGGACATGTGCGCCCAGGAAGGGAAGGAATCAGTTTCTTAGCAGAGGAGAAAGGGAAGAGAAGAGAAGGAAAGAGAAGGAAAAGAGAGAGAGGGAGGGAAAAAAGAAAAAGAGAACTAATGAGCTCACAGAAGAAAGAGAGGCCAGGCACAGTGGCACACATCAGTAATTCTAAGGCCTTGGGAGCGGAAGCCAAGGCAGGTGAATCACTTGAGGCCAAGAGTTCAAGACCAGCCCAGGCAGCGTAGTGGGACCCTATCTCTACAAGAATATTATTATTATTAAATAAAAGAAAGGGGGCCGGGCGCGGTGGCTCACGCCTGTAATCCCAGCACTTTGGGAGGCCGAGGCGGGTGGATCACAAGGTCAAGAGATCGAGACCATCCCGGTCAACATAGTGAAACTCCGTCTCTACTAAAAATACAAAAAATTAGCTGGGCATGGTGGCGCGTGCCTGTAATCCCAGCTACTCAGGAGGCTGAGGCAGGAGAATTGCCTGAACCCAGGAGGCGGAGGTTGCGGTGAGCCGAGATCGCGCCATTGCACTCCAGCCTGGGTAACAAGAGCGAAACTCTGTCTCAAAAAAAAAAAAAAAAGAAAGAAAAAGAAAGGGAAGAGACAGCCATGAAGATAACTAGCTGAGGCCAGGCACAGTGGCTCAGGCCTATAATCCCAGTACTTTGGGAGGCTGAGGTGGGCAGATTGCTTGAGGTCAGCAGTTCCAGAACAGACTGGCCTACATATGAAACCTCATCTCTACTAAAAATGCAAAAATTGCCCAGGCATGGTGGGGCATACCTGTCATCCCAGCTACTCGGGAGGCTGAGGCAGGAGAATCACTTGAATCTGGGAGGCAGAGGCTGCCGTGAGCCATTGCACTCCAGCCTGGGCAACAGAGCGAGACCCTGTCTCAAAAAAAAAAAAAAAAAAAAACCCACCAAAAAACATCACCTGGCTTGTTAAAACACAGATTCCTGGACCCCACCCAGAATTTGATTCAGGTCGGGAGTGGGGCCTATTAAGATGCATTTCTAGCAAGTTCCCAGGTGATACTCATGCTTCTGGTCCCAAACCACACTGTGAAATGCCAGTTCCAGATTAGAAGATCCCAAAGAGATACTGGAGCCAACCACAATGTACAAACCTGATTGGGTCCTGTTGGAAACAGATGCTCGGTGCTGCAAAGAAAAATCAGCACTGGGACGAAGGATCTTTCAGCAACGCAATTTTTACTTCTTACACTGCAGGAAGGGTACTCTCACTAGCCATCTTGCCACGAGAGTACAAAGAAAAAAGGAAGACACACAGATTTATTCCTTACACATTTGGAGTCGTCCTTACTGCTGTGTCTGATCTCCGTTGGCTGGAGCCAGACCTCACAATCTAAACTAAAACCTGATTGGCTAACAACTTAAAACTTTTCTAAACAGGTAAAAGCAATGGAGAGCTGGGACATGCCTGTTAGCACGTCCAGCACAGATATCTTGGTTAAAGTACAAGGACATAGAATGTACTATGTGCCTGTAAGCATGGCATGTCTAACAGCTACATAGGATAGGGCTTAACAAAGTTATTAGCACACTTATTCTTTAACAGGAAAACTTTAAAAAGGAACTTTTTTACTTCCCACAAGGTCCTGATTTGGAAATTAAACATCTTTAAAGTTCATTTAGGAAGTAATTGGGTTCATTTGGCCGGGCACGGTGGCTCAAGCCTGTAATCCCAGCACTTTGGGAGGCCGAGGCGGGTGGATCACGAGGTCAAGAGATCGAGACCATCCTGGTCAACATGGTGAAACCCCGTCTCTACTAAAAGTGCAAAAAATTAGCTGGGCATGGTGGCACGTGCCTGTAATCCCAGCTACTCAGGAGGCTGAGGCAGGAGAATTGCCTGAGCCCAGGAGGCGGAGGTTGCAGTGAGCTGAGATCGCGCCATTGCACTCCAGCCTGGGTAACAAGGGCGAAACTCCGTCTCAAAAAAAAAAAAAAAAGTCTTTATTTTTAGGAGATTCACACTGAAGTCATTAGGGGTCAAGTGTCATGATATCTACAGCTAACTTTTATTTCATTTATTTATTATTATTACTATTATTATTATTTTAGAGACAGCTTCTTGCTCTGTCACGCAGGCTGGAGTGCAGTGGCATGACTGTAGCTCACTGCAGCTTCATACTCCTCAGATCAAGCAATCCCCCTACCTCAGCCTCTCCAATAGGTGGGACTATAGGCCTACACCACCATGCCTGACTTACAACTAACTTTTAAATGCTGGCCAGGCATAGTGGCTGATGCCTGGAATCCCAGCACTTTGGGAGGCCAAGGCAGGTGGATCACTTGCGGTCAGGAGTTCAAGACCAGCTTGGCCAACATGACACCCAACACCCCGTTTCTACAAAAATATACAAAAAATTAGCTGGGCATGGTGGCAGATGCCTGTAATTCCAGCTACTCAGAAGGCTGAGGCAGGAGAATCACTTGAACCCAAGAGGCGGAGGTTGCAGTGAGCCGAGATCATTTCACTGCACTCCAGCCTGAGTGATAGAGTGAAACTCCCTCTCAAAAAAATAAATGTTTCAGCAAAATACACACATGCACACAGACAAAGAAAATATGACAAAATGGTTATTATTGAATTTCGGGACAGGTGTATGAGTGACCATTATACCACTTTTTCAACTTCTCTATGTTCGGATGTTTTAAATATTAAAGCTAAGGGCTGGATATGGTAGCTCATGCTTGTAATCACAGCACTTTGAAGGGCTAAGGTGGGAGCATAGCCTGAGCCCAGGAGTTTGAGACTGCAGTCAGCTATGGTCGCACCACTGCACTCCAGCCTGGGCAACAGAGCAAGACCCTGTCTCAAAAAAATGAAGTAAATGAAATAAGTAAAATGAAATAAATGTAAAATGAAATCAAAGTAAAATGAAATAAATCTGGGGTGGGTGTGGGGGATGGACTAGAGCATCACTGCCTAATTGAACAAGCAGGAGGCTGCCATGGGATGAGGCCAGGCTCAACTGTCAGCCCCTCTGGGTCATTCTAAGGACTTTGGATTCTATACTGAATGCATGAGGAAACCCTTGAAGACCTTAAGCAGAGAGTGACATGATCTAATTTTTTTTTTTTAATCTGTAGCTTTCTTTTTCTTTTTTGAGACAGAGTCTCGCTCTGTCACCCAGGCTGGAGTGCAGTGATGAAATCTCAGCTCAACAAAACCTCTGCCTCCCAGGTTCAAGCGATTCTCCTGCTTCAGCCTCCTGAGTAGCTGGGATTACAGGCACGTGCCACCACTCCCGGCTAATTTTTGTATTTTTAGTAGAGAAGGGGTTTCACCATGTTGGTCAGGTTGGTCTCAAACTTCTGACCTTGTGTTCCGCCTGCCTGGCCTCCCAAAGTGCTGGGATTACAGGTGTGAGCCACCATGCCCGGCTTTTGTGTGTGCGTTGTTTTTTTTTTTTTTTTTTGAGATGGGGTCTTGCTAAGTTGCCCAGGCTGGTTTCAAACTCCTGGGCTCAAGTGATTCTCCTGATCCAGCCTCCTGAGTAGCTTGGATTACAGGTGAGTGCCACCACATCCAGCTAATTTTTGTATTTTTAGTAAAGATGGGGTTTCATCATGTTGGCCAGGCTGGTCTCAAACTCCTGATCTCAAGTGATCCACTCATCTTGGCTTCCTAAAGTTTGGCGATTACAGGCGTGAGCCGCTGTGCCCAGCCAACTGTACATTTTCAAATAACTCAGAGTATAATTGAATTGTTTGTAACACAAAGGCTAAATGCTTGATGTAATGGATCCCCATTTACCCTGATGTGATTATTATGCATTGCACGCCTGTATTAAAACATCACACCAGGCGCAGTGGCTGACGCCTGTAATCCCAGCACTTTGGGAGGCCGAGGCAGGTGGATCACCTGAGGTCAGGAGTTTGAGATCAACCTAGCCAACATGGCAAAACTCTGTCTCTACCACAAATATGAAAATTAGCTGGGTGTGGTGATGGGTGCCTGTAATCCCAGATACTCAGGAGGCTGAGGCATGAGAATTGCTTGAACCTGGGATAAGGAGCTTGCAGAAAGCCGAGATAATGCCATTGCACTCCAGCCTGGGGGACAAGAGCCAAACTCCATCTCAAAAAAAAAATAAATAAATAAAACATCTCATGTGCCCATACATATATACCCCTACTATGTACCCACAAAAATTAAAAAATGAAAACATCATCCTTTTGATGCTTGGCCACATGGAGGACATAGCAAATGGTTCCTGGCCAAGCACAAGAGAGCCACTGATATCTGCACCAGGAAAGGATAATCGTCCAGTTATAACCAGAGGCAGCCTCTGGTGTCAATAGCTGATTGTTCTGAACAAGCCCAGATTCTTTGCTTCCCCAAAGCTGTGTGAAATTGAAAAACTCAGAACCATTGACAAGTAATAATCACAATACAGATGCCAAGGCACCACCTAGAGCAAGGAAACCAGATTCCCTTGGCACCAGGATCAAGTCCAAGATCCCAGGGGATTCTTTGTTTTATATATATATATAGAGAGAGAGAGATGAATTCTCGCTCTGTCGCCCAGGGTGGAGTGCAATGGCACAATCTCAGCTCACTGCAACCTCCACCTCCCAGATTCAACAATTCTCCTGCCTCAGCCTCCTAAGTAGCTGGGATTACAGGCACCCGCCACCATGCCTGGTTAATTCTGTATTTTTAGTAGAGACAAGGTTTCACCATGTTGGCCGGGCTAGTCTCAAACTCCCGGTCTCTGATGATCTCCCCACCTCAACCTCCCAAAGTGCTGGGATTACAGGTGTGAGCCACCGCACACAGTCCAAGGGGGTTCTTGATCACAGCCAGGCAGAGTCTGCAGTCCCCAGGTGGTGAGTTCCAGCAGGCCTGTGACAGATGGGCTCCAGGGTCCCTGAGCACAAGGCTCCAAAGCCATGTGGTCATACTCTGGACCTCTTAAGAGTGTAGACAGATCCTGGCTCAGGGGAACCCAGGTCAAAGAAACCTGCCCTCTTGAAGTCTGGGGATCTCTTACTTCTTTTCTTTTGACAAATTGACTTCTCTGGTGAGATTATATAAATATATATATATATATATATATATATATATATATATATATTTTTTTTTTTTTTTTTTTTTTTTTTTAAGACGAGGTTTCACCATATTGGTCAGGTTGGTCTCGAACTCCTGACCTCAGGTGATCTGCCCACCTCAGCCTCCCAAAGTGTTGGGATTACAGGCGTGAGCCACTGCGCCCGGCTTCTCTGTTGATATCAATGACCCATATGCATAGAAAAGAAGTAAAATAAAAGTGGCCTGGTACAGTGGCTCATGCTTATAATCCCAACACTTTGGGGGGCCAATGCAGGAAGACTACTTAAAGTCAGGAAGTTCAAGACCAGCCTGGGCAACATGGCGAGACCCTGTCTCTACTAAAATAAAAAATTAGGCTGGGTGTGGTGGCTCATGCCCGTAGTCCCAGCTACTTGGGAGATGGAGGGGGAAAAATCACTTGAGCCTGGGAGGCAGAGATTGCAGTAAACAGAAATCATATCACTGCACTCTAGCTTGGGCCACAGAGTAACACTCTACCTTAAAAACAAACAAACAAAAAACAGGAGGCATGGTGGCATGCACCTGTAGTCCTAGCTACTCAGGAGGCTGGGGTGGGAGAATCACTTGAGCCCAGGAGTTTGAGCCATGTTGCAGTAAGCCATGATCAGGCCACTGCATTCCAACCTGGGTGACAGAGTGAGACCCCTGTCTCAAAAAAAAAAAAAGGATTTTATAAAAAGTACAGGAAAGACAGCGGTGTATTACGCCTGTAATCCCAGCACTTTGGGAGGCCAAAGTGGATGGATCACCTGAGGTCGGGAGTTCAAGACCAGCCTGGCCAACATGGTGAAACCCCGTCTCTACCAAAAATACAAAAATTAGTTGGGTGTGGTGGCGGACATCTGTAATCCCAGCTACTCGGGAGGCTGTGGCAGGACAATCACTTGGACCCAGGATGCAGAGGTTGCAGTGAGCCAAGATCCTGCCAATGCACTCCAGCCTGGGCATCAGAGCGAGACTCTGTCTCAAAAAAGAAAACAAAGAAGTAAGTAAAAGTCATCTCAGATCCTGTTACCCTGAAATAGCCACCATTCATTCGGTGACCGCCCTTCAAGTATTTCCTTATGAAAACAAACACCCACGAACACACACATAGATGTACATCAGTGGGTCAGAACCCATGAGCATCGGTCATCACAGGCAGCCTTCTTCCTTCTCTTGACTTACTTCCCAACCCCACCCCCACACTGGATCCCTCCCTAGTGTCAACTGAAGAGCAATGCGGTCTTCCTCCATCTGAGAGATTTTCCTTCTTATAAAAGGTTGCAGCCTGCTGGCTGGGAAGCATAGCCTCCATAGAGACAAAAAGCAGGCATTTCAAGGGAGGGAAGAGTGAAAGAGTAAACGTAAGCCAAATGGGCTGGCTAAGTATACATATGCATTGGTCTGTTCTTGCATTGCTATAAGAAAATACTTGAGGCTGGGCGCTGTGGCTCATGCCTATAATCCCAGCACTTTGGGAGGCCGAAGAGGGTGGATCATGAGGTCAAAAGATCAAAACCGTCCTGGCCAACATGGTGAAACTCGGTCTCTACTAAAAAT